TAGAATTCATGTTGTATCTCACGAAGAGGATATATCAGGTTTACAACTCTTGAATAATTGCCTCCGCCTCGAGTCTGTAAATCCGATCAGCATACTTCTCTATACATGCAGTATATATTACATTTAATCTTTGATCCTATAAAAAGCTAATTAGTTTTACCCAAAGCTTATTTGTAGGAGCTTTTAAAAGCAATGAACAAATGGCGTTCAGCTTAGTTAATAATGACTTGAATCACGTTCAAAACTGATCCTTGCTCAAGCTACAATAGTAGATGCTTGTAATCATGTGCATTCATTTGGGAAAAAGGTGTTTGCTCTTTCCGTTCTTGAAAGATTAGTTCTTGTCATGATAGCTGATGGGGTCGATAAGTGTATGTCAATTGCACTGATTGTCAGGATGGTTCAAATCGGATGATATCGGATTTAAAAGACTTAGAATTAAAACAGTCTGATGTTCGACTGTTGATTGTTATAATACGCACACGTGCACATACTTCTGTCGAAATTGTTTCAGTTTTTTAGAACATCTCGCGGGAGGAGTAACAATGAGGTGATTACTGTGGCTCGGCCAGTTCTTCGATATAAAAGCCGCTTTCCTCTCAGCCATCGAACCGCTTCAGTGTTATATGCGAGAACGTGCTATCATGTAAGTAGAAAGAAGTTAGCTCGACTTCTGGTGAGAGAGATAGTTCGTTATTATTTATTCGGGAGAAAGATTGCTTTACTGCTATCGAAAGGCTGATTTTTCTGTCTAATATACTATTCTTATTAATAGAAAACAAAACAGGGTTCTTTGGGTCTTTAATCGATATGCGCTAAAGAAGCTGCTTTGAACGGACGTACGGTTTTGAATCTGAAGTACTTCTGATGAAAGTAGTAAGAAAGAAGGCTTTTTTTTCTTTTTAAGCCTATACCACGTAACGAAAAAGAGCGATTAGTGCCGGGAGAATATATCATAACCAAATCAGGATGTCACATAGTAGAACATTGTTACTGACAACAAATTATCCCGCCACTGGTCGGTGAGTAGAATTCCTTAGGTCGTAGGTCTAACCACATCCCTGTTTACAGCGGAAGAATTGGACATGCTTGACATCTTTAGGATACTGACACTTGAAAACATTTAATTACATGTAAGTCTTAAAACACCACAATTCCCCGGCTTTGGATCACTTCTAATCTATTTAAAAGTCGCATGTATTTCAGCCACATTTGGCATTCACCGCGATCGGCTTGAATTGAAACGGAGCTATACTGGGGCCACTGTTTATGGTGCCCTAGTATATGTCCTAGTATACGAGGTTTCCTCGGGTAGTTAGAAGAGAGTCTGTTATTTAGATACTGCGAAGGAAAGTGTCTACTTCCTAGTTAAATCAAGCATATGAATGCAGGAACATGTCACGGTTAAAATTACTCGCCATTACGACGAGTAACGCCTGATGACAGGTCAGAATTTAGAGTTTTTGTCTGCGAGCTCTATGTTTGGAATATTTATCACCGCAATGCTAGGCAGTGTTAGGCCTCACTGGTGACTTCAATATGGGAAATATCTACATAAGAATTGAGCTACTTACGCCCATATCTTACTTTTAAACAATATTAAACAGTTCTTTAACTCAATATTTGCCACCATGTTTCCCGCCAAGAGTTCAAATATGGCGCCAGGTCAAATGCGCCACGTCTATGAAAGGATTTTGTTATCCCCGACAAATGGTTGAACACGTAAAAACTTTACGACTCTTAGCTTTCTAAGCTCACATTTCATTTCTAAATTTCTTAGGTAATAACTAAATTCGTTGATAAACTGAACTGGCAGTTCGTAACTGTTGTAAAGCTCATACTTTTCGGAAGTGTTTTGACATCATCAGCTTCCGGATTTTTTTCCTACAAACGCGATATTTAACGCTATTTCCGCACTCTTTTGGCACCTAGGTAAAAAGGCGTACGATAAAGTTATTATATAGGCGTGCTCATGCCTTCATTCTATGATCCCTAATATTACAAAATCAGACTCTTAGACCTCAGTTATCATGCTAATTATCGTCTCGGCATGTTTTTCCCATCAAAATACGCTTTGAACAGGCCACGTTCTGTACGTATGATCAATATTCTAACATGGCTCCGAGGTTTTCAGGACAAACTTCTGTATCTGGTGTTGTTTTCTTTGTATCTAAATCTCTTTTTGGGAATTGAAAGACAAAATAAACTAAGAAAAATTTGCAATTTTGACCCGAAAGCCTCGGAGCCACGTTATAATATTGATATATCGAACGTGGCCTATTAAAGAAATTCTTGATTATGTTAACTAGGGTCAACAGTTTT